GAGTTTTAGTATATATATATAATTTTGGATATTATTAGACTTTGAAATGATATTAGTAGTTTTATATGGATAGAGATTTAAACTCGGAACATATTTTGATATGGGGAAAAAGTACTAATCTGACAAATGATGTTTATACATTTGCCTATGGACCTTGAATTAATCTCACGATCCGCTCACAGACTTTATTCAATTTGTATTTATAATTTCTCGTATAGCTTTGGTATTTGTTACTTGCTATGTATAGTAGCGAAATGTTAAAAGCGAATCAAATCATTTATTATTTGTAGTCTATTTTGAACGGGTATAGTGTATTTGTGAGCTTAAGACCAGCTGAACTAAATCATACAATCAATTACTTTAATATCGTGCTTGGACCTTCTCTAACCAAGGAGTGGAAGAAAAATAACCAAAGATTGGAGAAATTCTATAGTTTAGTTGCTGGATCGTGTAATTCCTACGCCCCAGACACAAACATAACCACCCCACCCCACCCCACCAACAGACTTTGAGACCCACACTCTACCAATGTTTTGACCTCACCCTCTCTCGCACATCCCCCACTCCACACCCCACACCCCCACCCTCCCCGCGCGCCCCCCCCGGCAGGCGGAGAAAGGGATCGTATCTGAATCCCTTCCATCTAATCTTTCTCATCAAACAATTCGATTTTTTAAATTTGATTCAACGGCTAAAGTTATAATAACTTTTAAAATGGGCCCGTGTTTTTAGCCGTTGGATCAAATTTCAAGGGTCCGGATTGTTTGATGAGAAGGAATAGATGGAAGGGATCCGGAGAAGATCCCTTTCCGACGCCGCCCCCACCCCCCACCCCAGGGCACTGAAGAATGCCTCCAAATTTTGTGTCCGAATCATCTCCGGGCACTGAAGAATGCCTCCAAATTTTGTGTCCAAATCATCTCCAAGGGATGTTTTAATATATATATATTTTTTTTTTTCCAATTTGTTTCAGCCCTCAAACGATACAGAAATAAACACCAAAATTGATAACCACCATACTAAATTCCAGGAAATCCCTTTTGGGCATTCGTTCAAGTTTGAAGTTTGGTTTCAAGTTTCTCGCTATCGCCTAATCCAAGTCGAATGGTTTGTGGCCATGCTAAGTTGTGGTCGAGTCCATACTGGACTGAGGATTCTACTAAATAACCAATTACACCCAACGCCTAATTTGAAAAATTAAATATTTTTAATATTTGCAATTCGGTTCGATTTCGTTTAGGCTAAACCAAATTGTTAGTTTAGCTTTAGGTTTGGTTCCAAACCGAAATCGTTTTAGTTTGCAAAAATCGAACTGTTTGATGCGATCCAAATTAAGCTATATTTCGGTTTCAGTTTTCGATCCCAAGTGCCCTCTTAAGAGATAGTCTTAGTTACAAGCACACGATATTAAACTCTTCTTATGACCTTGGTATTAGTCTTCGCTATTTTGTAATGACAATTGAGTACATGTATCCTTTACAACATGAATAAATATAATTTTGAGATCCTTATTATAATCTTGAAAAGAAAATCTTATAGTATTTTGAATGTTTCATTATTTTAAGATGCTCACTTATTTTTATATATATATATAGAGAGAGAGAGAGAGAGAGAGAGAGAGAGAGAGAGAGAGAGAGAGAGAGAGAGAGAGAGATGAGATTTGGTTTGTCAAAGCAAGTTTCAACGAGTCTCAAAATATTCTCTTTTATGCAACTTGGAGGGTTTCTGGTGATGCTGCGAGTGACCAAGGGTCCAGATCCCACTATGACCAAAATCGTGATCAACTAAGGGCCCCGCTTGTAGTTATGTGGTGGGACCCACTCTGAATCATCAAGTCTGGCAAGGGAGATTCTGAGACAACCACCCATTCCTTTTACTATCAATATCCATGGAGAAATTTTATTTAAATTCATTTAACTTTTTTTTATATTTAATTTAAATTTTAAATGTTAATTGTCTATTTTACCTTATTGCATAGTTACTATTAAGTACAAAATGAAATTAATAATAAAACTCAAATTTGTTAATAAACCCATACATTATAATTAAACACTAACATCACCCTTTGTTTATTCTACGTCCATTCCAGCTATAACCTTAATAGTTCTGATAGATAAAAACAAGTTTTTTTTATTGATGGATAGTGATTTTAAAGTTTTGAATCCTCCAACTAAAGTATGACTGGATTTATAGATATTTTGTTTGTTTGATTCTTCTTTGGATTAAATTTTATACTTATTATATTATATTGTATTTGTTTTTCTCTGCCATCTGTCTGCCCCCAAAACACCATTACAAGAACTTTTAATTAGTAATGCAAAGACATATAACTTGATTGTTGCTGTAAATAACGATTGCCCAACCTCATAAACCTTGACCACTCACTAGCAGGTGGCATGTCTCCATCCAAATCCAATGCTTCAAGGTCAAATATTTTTTTCTGGCAAAGTGATGGACTGAACTGGAGCTTGCATCGCATTCTCTGGCAAATTCAAATCTGTGGAAGGATCTCTTGGATCCCAAGTCTATGGATGGGTTTGGTAGCAGAAAAAAAAAAAACCATGGAAATGCTAGTCATATGCAATTATACAGGGGCAAAGGAAGCTTTACATTTTGAATTGGGTTGTGATCGTAGTTTAGGTAATAAATTTGACTTTAAAAAGATATTAATTCTTTAATTAAAAAAATTATGGATGAAGAGAGTAAGCTAGATGTAAAAAGAGATTAGATGAGTTCAAATAAAAATTTTCATATCCATGAGTCTTGTTGAATTAGATTTAGATAGTAGTTCCAACTTCCGATGAGAAACCATTTGATTCATGTTTAGCCGAGTAGCATGGACTTGCAATTAAATTGCGTAAAAAATTACTTGTAATTAAAAGTGTTCTAGTATGCGCACAATCTTCTGGTGTATGTAGTCTCATTGAGCACGTCATAAACTTTTCGAAATAGTAGTGTTTTAGTATGTACACAACCGTTTGGTGTACGTGGTTGCATTAAGCACATAATAAGCCATCTGATTAGTAGAGTGTTATAGTATGTGCGCCGTGTATGTGGCTGCACCAAACAGGTCATAAATTATTCGGATTAATAAGGCACATCACTCACTATAGTTGCGTAGGATTATATATTTGAACATAAAGCATTCCATTGTTCTTGGCAAGGTTCTAAAAGATATTAGACGCTAGTTGAGCGGGCGGCTGGAGCCTAACGTCTAGACGGCTAGGCAAGTAAGTAAATTTATTATATATTATATAAATAAATGTCTGGCTGTACTTTATTATATATTGTATAAATAAGTGTCTGGTTGTACTTAAAATACATAGTTTCATTGCGATACATAAACTACAAAAATATAATGGCATATAAATTATAAAGTATTAGAACATAATGAAAATATGAGGAACAAACATATAATGTGTGTTCATGTAATTATTCAACAAGTCTCTTATAAGTTATTAAAAAAATAAAATGCAAAATGAAAGTTATAAGTTTCTTGTCTAAGCGAGAGATGCGATCTAGTCGGGTGCCTAGGCGGATGCTTGAGTAGGTTTAAGCGCCTGTTCTTAATTTTCAAACACCTAGAGATTAATCGGATCGGTGACCATCCGATTAGCGTCCAAACGAGAATTTTTAGAATAGTGTTTCTTAGTCATTAAAGTGTTTACGAAATGAATAACAAGTGATAATAATTTTTTTTCTTTCTTCATACAAAATGAGTCAAACTATGAGATCGATCATTCTGAATTCGTCCATTGACGAATATAAATATAGTTGAATTTATATCTAATAAGAAGATAATTTGTGAGTGATTACATGTATTAAGAGTTTATTTTAAAACACAAGTAGCTGATGATTAACGAGCCAAAAAATATTGCTTGAAAATATTATTTCTTGTGATTAATCATGATGGTAGGGAAAGTGTAGCTTTAAAAAGGGAAAAAGAGAGATCTTGGGAGACAAGAAAGAACCAAAGTTTGGTGCGGTCAGTGTGGTGGGAATTTGGATAATATTGATAGCCCCAAAACTAAAGCCATTGATTCCGAACCCTTATCATCACGACCCCATTTCTTTGGAAAGATTTTACGTGTTAGGTTTCCTAGTGCAAATCTTCCTTGACTTTTTTTAGAAACTCTAGATTCTTCCTTGTCTTCATTTCTCATTGTATGGATTCAATTTTTATTACGCGAAATGAGAAACACATTCTTTTTAGTTTAATTTGATAGTTATTTTTGTTTATTTAATTTGATAGTTTGAATTTCTGAAAAACTAAAAAGAGTGTATAGAAATCACATCTTTGATTAACGAGAGTTGGTTGAGTAGGTAATGATCATTCTCTTTGCTAGACCAATGTCTAAGTTCAAGATGACAATCTCTCTTGGTAGGATCTTAAAAACCAAGAAAAGAGCTAACATCCCCTCCGTAATTCCTCAAAGTGGTTTGTGGTATGTCCAGGCTTTGGGGATGGGGTGACCTCCCCTCCCCCTAAACTTTTCTCAATCAAAAAAAAAAAAAAAGAAAGTGAAATTACATCCCTCTATATAGACGAGCTGTGGACCCAGACGTCGATAATTTTGAGTTCCTTCCCGCTCAACAAGTTATGACTTGAATGGTACATGTGTTGGATGCTATGAGCTTTGGTAGAGCAAGAAACACCCTCAAAATACCCAAACTATTTATAAACGTGCGACAAAAACATAAAAATGCTCATATATTACAAGGGAACTTGTTATTTGCTTTCAATCGAAGCTTCTAGCTTCTTCAATATGTCCTTCATAGTAGTTTTTCAAAATGCACTTGATTTATTGTGCTCTCTGTCAAAATCGCTCACAAGCACAAGTGCTTTCTCCATAAGCATTTTCAAGTGGGAACCATAGTTGCCAAGAATAAATTGAGAGGATTGAAAACAACAACGACTTATTGGGCCTTAAAAATGAGTCCATGCAAATATCAAGACAGGCCAAAATCCATATTTTAACTTGATCCGCAACCTTCGTTGCTCACGCTCTCTCTCTCTCTCTCTCTCTCTCTCTCTCACAAAATCCCTCTGCACCTTCGCCGCCACCACATTTTCGCACCGCCGTCTCCGTTTCCCGCGAAGCCACCCGCCCAGGAGCAGCCCCAAGTTTCCCACTTCACCACCCGAACTTCTCTTGGGTAATCTACTGCCACTATCATATTTAATTTCTGTTTTTATATTCACAATTGATTTTCTGAATCCAATTTTACATTGTAGTGCTGATTTGTGGCGTTTTTGTGACTTGATTCAGATTAAGATTGTTTAAGATAATAATAATATTATTAATTACTCAGCGGCCATGGCTACTGACCCAGTTGAGATGGGGCTTTTGCTTCCGTGTTTGAATAGTTGGGAAGCTAATTTAAGTTTCAAAATTTTGAATTATTGATTTGAATATTTGATGTTGCTTGAATTGAACTAATGTTGCGATGAACTCTGGACTTTGATTTTAATTAATCCTCACTTGGGTTTTATTTCCTGAGCTTTTTCGACAATAAATATGACGGATTTTTCAACATAGTTGTATCGTTTTGTAAAATAGTGTTCTTGGCACACGAAAAGATAGTGATAATCGCAATATTCCGCGAATAGATATCCTTCCTTTTGGCTAAGTTAGCTAAAACTTTGGTTTTATGTTTTGAACTGCGTTTACTATCGTCGCGGAACTAGGTTTTGCAAGGAGCAGAAAGAAGTATGGCTTTGACAAACTTCATACTGACAGTCGCTGGTGTAGGCGCAGTGATTCTTATGCTGAGGGGTGATGTGCGACAATCAGCTACCATCTTCAAGCGCAATGTCAAACATATCCGCACCTGGCTCGAGGAAGAATCCCCCAAGTAATCCTCTTCTCCTTCTTTTTCGTTTTGTTTTTCTGTAAAATATGTTCACCAAGAAATTGTTTAAATGTTTGCAAGTAGGGGCTCAATTTTGTCAAAATTTTAATCTGGCAGTTCATTTGAATTCTATATGTTTCTTGAAAATGCTTCTTTACCGTGCTAGTGTCACTCTTAACATGGATTAGAGTTAACGTTCCGCAGATTGCTACATGCTTTATATTCAGATTGGGTGAAGATTTCTGATGTTATCATGAACTGTTTTCGTTGTTTTGTCTTGATGTTGGAAAAGAGGAAGGTTTCGTAAGTTAGCAAGTAATGGTGTGAAATTGGTCTCCTGTGTGAGAGATGTTAGTTTGATGGGGGTTTGAAGGGTTTAATTTTCAAATCCTTAGATGTACTGTATTACCTAAACGAGTAGGCATGCCTTTTCTCTTTTATCTTAGCTTTTCAGTTTTACCCTAGTCTCGATTCTTTGGTTGGAGTAGGGCATTAGTTTCTATATTTTGGAATCAGCCCTCAAATCGAAGGGCAGCTCGTAAGAGACTTTCATTATTGTATTACTTGGTTCTATTCTTCGTGTTCATAGTTTTTAAGATAAACCAAGATTGATTTGTTATCAAACAGTGGTGCGGTGTACAAAATTTTGTCCAGCCAAACCTGGACAGTGGACTTTGATCATTGTGTAAAATAAGTGTGATCTCGAGGAATCAATGAATTGTGACATGTCGTTTTATGTTTATTTCGAAACAATTTACTCTGCTTTCATATAGTTTTTGTTAGTGGTCTTGCATCTTAATACAACTTAATGGATTTTCTCATAGAATCACCAAGGAACTGGAATCAAAGGTTCCACCGAAGGATATTCCAAAGGACAAGGAAAAACACTAGTGTTGATACGAGCTTCTTGTGTTGTTCGCAACAGTTTACTACTCGTTTATTTCTCTCTTCTAAGGAAAAGTTCATTATATGATGGCATTTCTTTAGGAATAAGTCTTGACCCTGGATTTTCTGTTCATAAAATGTCTTATCTTGTTTATCGTAGTTGATTTTTGGTCTTTAGATACGCATATATGTAACTATTAACCGCGGAGAAAGCTATCACCTGTTAATCGGATGTTTCTTGTTTGTATTAGTGTAATTTTGTAGATAGTAATGCTCGTAGTTGCTGTAGTTGTCAGTTGACCAAGATATGCTCGTAGTTGCTGTAGTTGTCAGTTGACCAAGATATTGTGGTACATACGGAATATCCACTGCGTAAGATCATCAAACCTTGTCAAGTTTTGTGTTGTTTTACTCCGATCTTTTACCTAATTTTCAGCTGTGAACGTTATACGCATGGCAGAATTGAACCTATTTTTGCATTTCTGTTAAAATTCATTCAAACAAATTGACACCTAAAAGTTTCTCAACTTCTAGTCATCAGCAGATATTACCAGAGTGAGATGACATGCATTATATACTTGTCTGAAAATGCAAGCATGGGTTTGAAAACATAAGTCTAGTAAGAAAACATTACAACGTAACATTCTTTGATATTATAGTGATTGGAAAGATCTTATAATGGATTTGTTAAGATCAGTCGGACACACGCTCGTGTTGTTCTTGATCATGGATGTTTTAATGGCCAGGATCAACCCACGATGTTCCTGGTCACAACGTGCAAGTTCCTACTGACCCTAGCCCTCAAAAACATTTTCAAGGTGGATGGGAGCCGTGGGTTTTAGGTTTTGGTTTTGGTATCATATTAGACCAACTTTTAATCTAACATAGCTTAGTATAATCATCTAACACGCCAAACCATGTGAAACCGTTGCAAAGCCTTTTCCTTCCCCTTTTAGAAACCCTAAGTTAATGGTAACTGGTAAGCACACCAAATGTACATGAACAAAGCTAACTTTTCTTTAGCCAAGTCGTAAGCAATTAAATGTTATGTGATACATAAAATTGGCACGTTAGCTAACACTCTCTCAAATACAAATAAACAATTATTATATACGGATATAGAATTTTGCTTGTAATAAAGAATGTGTTAGCAAGCGTAGATTTTGAGATATTTTTTAGTGTGCTGGGAATACGAACTGGTATACCAATGTAATATATAATTGGTAGAAATTTTATTCCTCGGGTTTATTTGCACTCATGGTTATTTGGCCTCCCCAATGTGCATGGACATGCTCGCATTGTTTCAATAAAAATATCTAATTTCGATTACCACTTGAGGGCTTTACTCACTTTGCAGAACATATAATTGAAAAAGAATTGAAAGAGTTTCCAACATTCTGGCAATTTAAAGTTTCCAACAAAGTGTATTATACTTGATACGCTAAATCGTATTCCCAACATACTGAAAAATTTCTCCTACCCTCAAAATAACATCACCCATCTATTATTAGTCTATTATTATCACCATAAACACAAAGTAGGTGAGAGCATCCCACCGACAATGGCACAATAAACCCAATGTCCATTTGGTGAACAACCCACCTGATCCCTTTCCAAACCCTAATTCTGCTCAACCTCCATCCAACAACTTTTAAGCCCATTTCTTAATTACTCTCCCCATTTATTAATTCAACCCAACCAACAAAAAGCTCCAAGCCTTCAAAGCCTCCATCCAAAAACTCCGAAAAATATCAAAGATTTTGCTCACGATAATCCTCAAGAAATGGCTAGTGGCAAGCAACTTGTTGTTGAAGACAAGCAGCGTGCCGGGGCCGAGATCGTTTACGGCCCCGAAGATTGCTACCGGCAGTCCATAGACATGCTACAAGAGCTAGGGTTTCCCAAAGGTGTCCTCCCCCTGCAGGACCTCGTGGAGTGCGGGAGGGTCAGAGAAACTGGGTTCGTGTGGATGAAGCAGAAGCAACCCTACGAGCACTTCTTTGAGGGGTCCAACACACGTGTCAGCTACGCAACTGAGGTGACTGGGTACGTGGAGAAGTGCAGGATGAAGAAGATGACTGGGATCAAGAGCAAGCAGGTTTTTCTGTGGGTCACCATATCTGAGATGAGCGTTGAGGATCCGGCGGGGAAGAAGATCGTTTTCAAGACTCCGATGGGGATCGGGAAGTCTTTTCCGGTCACGGCGTTCATGACGGAGGAGGAGAAGCAGAAGTATTTGGAGAAGGTTGAATGAGGTTAAGGAAATTAATTGACGGTTTTGAGGTGAATTTGTGGGGGTTAATTATATGGTTAAATAAAAATTTATCTTTTTTATTATATTTTTCAAAGCCGTCATGTGTGAAAATATTAAGCCACTTACAAAGTTACACTCGTACATGAAAGTTGTTTTTACCTCCAAAATGTCATTTATTCAGGATTAATATGACGACGGAGGAAGAGATAACAGTGATACTTATGTCATTGAAGTCACTCCTCTGATGTGTAAAGTTACCAAAACATTGTACTAACAATTAAACTTCATAAGACCATCATTTCTAATTTCCAAATTAGCTATAATTTTGTACGTATTTCACAATAACAGTACATGGAAGTTGTTTTTACCTCCAAATGTCATTTATTCGGTGTTAATGTGATAACGGAGGAAGAGATAACAATGATACTCGTGTCATTGAAATCACTCCTTTGATGTGTAGAGGATTATATAAAGTTAACAAAAAATTGTACCAAAAATTATACTTCATAAGACCATCATTTCCAATTTCCAAATTAAATGTACGATTATATTTATTTTAATATAATCATCATCTGTTCGTGGGAAAAATAACTAAAGGAGAAGGAAATATTTTTTTTCAGTCTTTCCAAAAACCACTCCTCAAGCGATCCACTAAATACAAAACCAAACAACCAATGGCCAGAGCCTACCTGGGCAACTCACCACCTCTCTCCTACTTACGCCACGTGTCCCACCTCCACAGCTACACTCGCCTCCCCGCCTGCTTCCCCCTCCACGTCACCTCATCCGCCGCCCCCATGGCCCATCCGTCCCTCGAAATCCTCGGCGGCGGCTGCGACCTCTTCCTCCCCGCTCTCACCACCCTGACCCGACCCTACGACGCGTATCCGGTAATCGGGTCGAACCGTCACGTCGAGACCATATTCGCTTCGTTCTACAGGTCCACTCCCGACGTCAGGCTCCGTCGCGAATGCCTCCGTACTGCAGACGACGGTGCCGTTGCCCTCGACTGGGTATCCGGCGACGACCGCCTTTTGCCCCCCGACTCCCCGCTCCTCATTCTCCTGGTTCGTTCGTTCTCACATTTCTCTTCCTTTATTTCCGGTTTGTTTCCCGGGAAATTACATAAAAAAGGAAAAAAGGGGAAAACTTTTGAGTTAGAAATTGAGTTTTGGATTTTGGGTAATGGGTGTTTTTGCAGCCTGGTTTAACTGGAGGGAGTGATGACTCGTATGTGAAGCACATGCTGGTTCGCGCCAAAAGTAAAGGGTGGCGGGTGGTGGTGTTCAACAGCCGCGGTTGCGGCGGCAGTCCTGTAACAACTCCTCAGGTATTCTCACTTGGCCCAATCAGTTCTCTAGTCTTTCAATTGAACCCAATTCATGATTCTCTGTGTTTGATTTTTGATCCCAATCAACATTTTTTGCTGCATCGTTTACAATTGGCAAGATTGATACTTGTTGTAGTGGGATTGTTGTTTTCGAGTTCAGGTCGTTTTTTTTTTTTTGTTCTTAATCGTTGATGGGAGTTTTATGCTGAAGATTTGAACTTTTTGATGTGGTTTTTAAGCCAGCTTTGTGATTAGTTATCTTATGGCGCTGATATGCAGTTCTATTCGGCTTCATTTTTAGGAGATATGTGTGAAGTAGTGGCTCATGTTGGTACTCGGTATCCGAAAGCTAATCTCTATGCTGTTGGTTGGTCTCTTGGCGCTAACATTCTCGTTCGCTACTTGGGTCAGGTAGAGTGTAACTTCTCTCATTTCCTCGCACATTCTGTCTATATAGTTTGTGACTGATGAATCGCTTTCAGGATTTCGTTTTGTTCGTTTGGATCATTGATTTTCACTAAAAACTTTTGGTGTCTGTTGCTCTTGCTGACTTATGTTGTGTATGTCTGATTGGTCTAATGTGCTGGTAATTTTGATATATAGTGGTAGCTTTTAGAAGGCAGTACTCTAGCTAGTTGTAGAAAGCTGTTGTTTCTGCTCAACGGAATTCATCAATGCCTTTAAGACCAACAAATGATGTGTTGAGCTGAAATATAATAGGAACTTAAATATATATCTGGCAGAAAAAGAAACAAACGTTTACAGTTTATCTGGATTCAGCAGGCCCATTAAACTATAGAATGGTGTACAAGTTGGATTTGGATGGTCATGCAATCTGCACTTGGCATGTAAATATAGAGCTAATGTTAGTCATATATGTCCATATAGTAGTGTTCTATGGCCTTGAATTTTCAATGAAGTTACATCTTATCTTCACTTATAAATAGTCCGACCTACCATTTGCACTGGGATTTTCTTTAACCCATTTTGCTCCACTTTCATTTCATTTATATTCCAATGATGTGGTACCTGCAGGAATCTAATGCATGCCGTCTTTCTGGTGCTGTCTCGTTGTGTAATCCTTTCAATTTGGTCATTGCAGACGAGGACTTCCATAAGGGCTTTAATAATGTTTATGACAAAGCTCTTGCAAATTCACTCTGCAAAATTTTCAAGAAGTAAATATCATGCATTATTAATTTTATGTTCTCAACAGTTATTTCAGCTTGAGATCGATAAATAACCCAATTTTACGGCTCTACATTGTAGGCATGCTCTACTCTTTGAAGACATGGATGGTGAGTATAATATTCCGTTGGCTGCCAAAGCAAAGTCCGTCAGGGAGTTTGATGATGGACTAACTCGTGGTACGTATATTGTGTACATGAAACCATTTGATTTCAGATGGGATAACACGACATTCATCTGATGAGAACACCTTCAATGAAAACTTGCAGTTTCATTTGGCTTCAAGTCAGTAGATGACTACTACTCCAATTCCAGTAGTTCAAATTCCATAAAGGATGTCTGCACACCATTGCTTTGCATTCAGGTACTTTTCTCTCGAACATTTCATATGGTTAATAGAAATTTTATGAATCTTGCAGCCGATGTTGAAGTGTGTAGATTCTAAAAGCTTCGTTTTTATTCTGGTTAAATTTATAATGGACTTGTTATAAAAAATATGAGACACATCGAGCCTGGGCATATCTGTTCGGCGGTGTATTCTTATACCCAGTTTGGTAGGAATGATAAAAAAGGGAGAGCGAAGGAAAGATGCAAGATGTTAGTGACGGGAGGGAGATTGTCAATCCTTGAAGTTGCTTATTTGAGTGGAAAGGAAAAACAGAGGGATAAGGAACCCCATGCCCAGTATCATCTCTCCCTCTAACAATGAATAGATTGGTCGAGGGATTGATGAGCATAATAAGCACAAGTTATGAGATTACTGTTTTTTTTTTTTTATATCTTCAATCCACTTTATGGATGGATAGTGGTAATCCATAGCTTTATATTATATTTCACACTGCTTATCCATTTCGAAACAAGAAGAGGACAGAACTACTTCTTTCCTTCGTCATGACTTACCATATCCATCCTTTAGAGTTATATCCTTTCTATCGAACATAGTGTTCTTATTTTGATTGCATGAGTGGAATAATTAAAAGTGTATTCAACTAACTCAAATGAGCTTACACTTATTGTTCTTATGGGTTTCAGGCGGAAAATGATCCAATTGCTTCAAACCGGGGAATTCCTCGTGAGGATATCAAGGTTTGTAGTGTCTCGAGACCAAGATACTATTTTCTAAATTACGTTCAACATTAACTTTGGATGAAGGCCTTAATAGTGCAATGAAAACTGAGGAAATATTTGTTAGGAATGCTCTAGAAAAGTCAGATAGAGAGACCTGGAAATGACTAGATGCAATACATATGAGAGAACTTCCGAATGACTCCTTGAAAGGTGTCATTTAAGATTCTGCTTTTAAGTTGCCTATTTAGTGTTTTAGTAGTGGCTTTGTAGTGCTCGAGTAGTTTATTGGCAGTGTTCTTGTATTGCATTTTTAGCAATCTAGTGTAGAGTTCCTTGGTATTTTGAAAGTCCCTCATCCAAACATAGGGATTAGTGGTTTATTTGTTAATTCTCCAATAGTTCTTGTATTTTGTTATTTTCAATATAATTCAGCATGTGTAATGCCTTATACACCAAGATAAACCACAAATTTTGAAATACTAACTAACGTGATAGGGTTTAGGGGAGAAGACTGTGCGGACGGATTGTTCTAGACTGAACATACCCTTAAAAATGAATTGACTAGGGAGTCTCTCTTCCTTGTAAAAATTCAAGGGACACCATATGCTTGGGATTTTTAGAAAATCTAAAGAAAGAGGTTATCTTCCTTAGATCAGTTGCATCAAATGGATTGGTTTACTGTTGAGCTACCCTCGTGTTCCCTCTGCTTGTAAAGAATATTTCTTTGGACATATCTCTTGTGATCTCCTTCTATGTTCTATCGGCATTTTAATATAGTACATCCCTTACTGTTTTCACAGGACAATCCAAACTGCATGTTGATAGTCACACCCAAAGGTGGCCATCTAGGGTGGGTTGCAGGCGCTGAAGCTCCATTTGGAGCTCCTTGGACTGATCCAGTCGTCATGGATTTCCTTGAGCATCTGCAGAGAGGAAAACTTGAAGCCTTTTCAACTAGTAATTTGGAAGGCGTGCACCGGAGTTCAGAGGGCTTGCACATCTTGGAAGTATAGTTGGGAAAAACCTAATTCTTGCTATATACAAATTGTATTTTTTTCTCAGACTGTACTCATAAGAATGTGATGGAATATGATCATTTCAATACAAATAAGCTAAAATCACATGATTCTTTGTACTTTTATGCTGTTGTACACTGCAGCTTAGCATGCAATTATGCCTCGGACCTTTTCTTTTAATTATGATGCACACTTAATGTAATCCATTATTCATATGGAGAAAACTTCATCAGTGTTGAGTTATATTCTTCATGAAAGCGAAACGTGTACGTTGCTTTCGGCGCCTATGATGTTCGGAAGAAAGTTCATCAGTATTAAGTTCTGGTATTCATTTCACACGTGTTTCTTTCGTAGCAGGAAGAAAATTCATCCCTTTTGCTGGTTTTCTAATATCTACAACACAGTAGCTCCACTTTAACTCTTTACCGTCTTTCTTATCCAACCGTTGGGGATCTCTTTGGTTTCGTCCTCCCAATATGCCAA